ACACATAGATATACAAAATTTAAAATTGAATAAAATGAATTAAATAAATTTGGCTGAATTAGTACCCATAATTTAAGATACCCATATTTTAAAATACATTAAAAAATTTAAAATAAAGATTGGAGATGTTGTAGATTGGAGATAGATGATGTCATATCCCTCTCCTTCTATTGAGAGAGGGCTGTTCAATTTTGACCTAGATAGCCTCTTTGAGGTCAGTGGTACTCTGTCTAAAATGTGGACTTCGCTGTCTTCAAATCTTTCTCTTCGTATTATCCCCACAACAACTACTTTGCTAGCTGTTGGAAATAGTGAGAAAACTAGCCAGGATCAGCCAGCTAACTCAATGGCTAAAAGAGAACTGAATCTAGGTTTGCTTGATCAAAATCCAACACTTTAATGCCATAGCCCAGTGGCTCTTTTTTCAATAATAGTGATAAACATTTTCAAGCAATCCATTTATACCATAGTATCCTGTAAGTCCAAAACAAGTTGACTTTACTACATAAACATTATTCTCAAATTAATTTTACTTGCATTTTAGAACTAGAAGGATCCAAATTCTAAACCTATTTCTAATTAATATAAACGTAATATACAAATTACGTTTGTTTCAATATAGAACGGTTGATTCAATAGATTTAGAATTTGGGATGCCCTTGTTCCTGCACAGGGCAGGGGCTGAACCTATGACAAACCCTCTACGATCTTATGGTAATTCATCCACTTAGATACTAGATTAAAAAAATTAAATAAAAGCATATTTTATCAAGAAAACCTGAATCTCTATGGCAGTCCTGACCTCTGGCATAGCATACCTACAAACGTGTATATTAACCCCCCTACCTGTCCCTCATTCAAACAAACTCTTAACTTATTCTTTCCCTTAGGCCTTGAGCTAATGTGGATTGTTTTGCTTCTCCTGCAGCACTTTGAAGGGTTTTTAAAAATCTTTTCAATTGTTCTGAACTGTTTCAATATTCTAGGGTGCACATGTACTTCTACAAAAATGCTATAGAAATTAAAAGATAAACAGAAATTTATTGCCCAAAAAATTCATGATGCCCATAGCAGCCTATGCACCACCTTGAAGGAGTGGTAATAAAAAAGTATGCCCACATGTGGTTTGTCAATGTGCTAAAGTTATTACTCCATTGCTTCTTTTCACACTTTTGTTCCAGACTGAAGAGCTAAAACAATGCAAAGAGTTCTGCAAGTTTGTAAATTAGCTGTCATGTAGAGGCTCCAGGCACACAGAATCTCTCTTTAAGTTAAAGGTATGCAATTCTCGAATTGCAAACTCAAGATTTGTGTTTGTGTTTTTATTTATGACCCAGCAGTAGTCAAACATGCTGGTCATGCTAGCAAAGTGACCCACATTAATCCTGCAAGTAGTCCTCCTTTAGCAACTGCCTCATTTAGTAACCATTGTTATGACACTGATTACAGATCTGATCATAAAGTGATTTTTTAAAAAAGCAAAACAAGATAAGATGAAACAAGCATAATTGCAGTTTCATTTAGCAACTGCTTCATTCAACAACCAAATTGCCATCCCAATTGTGGTCCCTAAGTAAGGTCTACGTACCTTGAAGAAGTGTGCTCCAAAAAATGCACTGACTTCCCAATCACACCAAGGTGTCAGAAAGCTTTTTTTTTTTTGCACAGTAACATTGAAGAGAGGGAAAGTGAAATTCGCACTCACATCCCTCTTTCTGGGCCCTCTGTAACAGGTACAATAGAGCTCTAATCTGTTTCAGGCAAGGGTGATTTACTGAAAGCCCAGAATATCTGAAGGCCTCTTAATCCCCAACGCAGAGGACAGACAGGTAGCAAATGGGAGGACTCAATGGCGAGAGCTCCCTTGTTTCAGATTCAAGGCACTCGGGGGTCCACAAAATGGGAGCTGAGCCAAGACGCTTCCCGGCTTAAACTCAGCCCCGTCTCCAAAAGGGGGTGTGGGAAACCCCCACCAGCCTCGAGTTGAAAAGTGCCGGGGCTGAGGAGAAGACAAAGCAACTGAGGTGAGAGGAAGGCGATCTCTTACCCCGGCAGCTCGCCAGAACGGCGCCGCGCTCGCTCTTCCCTGGTAACGGCGCTTCCAAGCGGCGAGGAAAGCCGGCGGGGGTCGGAGGCGGTCGCGGCTTTGGCTCCCCAGAGCCAGCAAGAAACCGAGTAAGAAGGCGCCGGCAGCACAAACCAGGTACAGGACAAGCCGGAGCAAGAGCCAGGCCACGTACAGCTCTCCGCCGACCTCCTCCTCCTCCTCCTCCTTCTCCGGCGGCGGCTTCTGCTGCCCCAGATGGAAGAGGAAGACGGCCAACCCCACCATCCCCAGTCCGGTGGCCAGTATGGAGCGGGTCCACAGGATGGGAGCCGTCGCCGCCGCCGCCGCCGCTTCTTCTTCGTCCTCTTCGCCGTCGCCTTCGGCCGCGGCTGGGACGCTGCTACTCTTCTTGCAGGATTCCCCGTGCCCGGGACTTGGGGCTCCGGAGGCGGCGGAGCCGAGCGCGGCGCCCGCGGATTCCACCTGCCCGCTGCCCCTGCCAGAGGAGTTGTTAGCGCCAGTATCGGGGAACATGCTGCTCTAGGAGCCGCCGGAAAGCAGCACATCTCCCGCGCCGGGGCCCCCTTCGGAAGGTCTCGGCTCCCCCGTTGTGGGGGATCTTCCCCAACCTCCGGCTCGAGTCCCTGGGCGCGCAGAAGCCGGCGCTGCTCATGCCCGAGAGGCGCGAAGGAAGCGTCCCCGCCTCTTTCCCTCCGCTCCTCACACCAACCACGGAAGCCGGCTCTGCCCGACTCACCTCGGAGGCAGCCGAGGCCCCACTGGCTGTTTGCGGGCGGGGAGGAGGAGTGGGGGGTGGGGGGTGGGGGAAGCTCCTGAGTGACAGCGCGGCCGGAAACCCAGCACGTGCGCCGGCCAAGCAAGGCGGAACCAGTCGCATAAAAGCAACGAGTGGCACCGCCTTCCTTCCTGCCTTCCTTTACTTCCTTTGGCTGGTGGTTACGTCCATCTTGGCGCTAACCGGGTTTTGCTTCTCAACCAAAAAAAAAAAAGGGCTCCCGCTAGTGTCATTTCGAAGCATTTCCTCGACTCTTCCTCTTGGTCGCCGTTTCGACAGCGAGGGGTTTGCAGGGCTGTTTCTCCGCTACGCGCCTCCAAGTACGGGGTGGGGGTGGTGTCGGTGTCACTGTGATAGGCTGTTTTCTACATTCTTCTGTTGCGCAATCCAGCCTTACTCATTAGTCTCCAACCTTGGTAACTTTAAGCCTGGAGGACTTCAACTCCCAGAATTCCCCAGCCAGCAAAGCTGACTGGGGAATTCTGGGAGTTGAAGTCCACCAGGCTTAAAGTTGCCAAGGTTGGAGTTCCCTGCATTAGTGCAATAATCCTTATCCAAAGTAGACGTGCGGTTGCAAAATAGGTTCCTGCAATGAGGCACACGGGTAATACCGCTCCAAGAAGCGTTTTCTCAGTGGAATCTTCGATACTCTCAGCTTGATCGATTGTTTGTTTGCGACGTTTCATTACCAGATAACTAGGTAACCTTCAGTTACCTAGTTATTGAGTGATGCTTTCTCAGGTTATGGTTCGCCATCCAGTGGCCGGGAAGCAAATGCATCTAATACAGCCTTCTGCAAATTTGCTCATGCAACAAACCAAACCGTTATTCATAGTATGCCGAGTAGATATCGTTACCTGGATTTTCGCAATGTTGTATTTCCAAACCCTGGTGGCTGTATGTAGTTCTGGTGCTTAACTATGAAGAAAACCATTCTATTTTTAGCTGGTGCCACTTTTTTTTTTCACTTGGCAACTTTAAAGTTGTCCGTTGGCCTTCGAGTCCCAGAATAACCCAGCCAGCATTCCCTAAAACAGGGGTCTGCAACCTTAAACACTCAAAGAGCCATTTGGACTGTTTCCCACAGAAAAAAAAAAAACACCGGGAGCCACAAAGCCCTTCCCTGTGCCTGACTATTTCTTGAGCGGCCACAAAAGTAGCATATGTAGTTGAATTAAATGTTCTGTTTTCTTCTGAAACTTTTCTTTTCTTGGATTTATCCATGGTTGGCCTACCGGGGGTAGAAAAGCTCAATAAATGGTGTGTCGGTGAGTGTCGCACATTGGTGGTTGTGATACATATTTTGAGTGACAGGAAGCCGCAGCACGGGGATGAAAGAGCCACATGTGGCTCCAGAGCCACAGGTTGCTGACCCCTGCCTTAAAAGGTAAAAAGGTAAAGGTTCCCCTCGCACATATGTGCTAGTTGTTCCTGACTCTAGGGGACGGTGCTCATCTCCATTTCAAAGCCGAAGAGCCAGCGCTGTCCGAAGACGTCTCCATGGTCATGTAGCCAGCATGACTAAACGCCAAAGGCGCATGGAGAGCTGTTACCTTCCCACCAAAGGTGGTCCCTATTTTTCTACTTGCATTTTTTACGTGCTTTCAAACTGCTAAGTTGGCAGAAGCTGGGACAAGTAACAGGAGCTCACTCCATTACGTGGCACTAGGCATCCCTTAGCTTGGGGAATTCTGGAAGTTGAAATCCACACATCTTAAAAAGTTACCAAGTTTGAAAAACATCATTTTAAAGTGATTTAATCCGATCCCTGAAACGCGTTTTAAAGCTGCCTTGTTCAACTGACCTTAATTTGGGGAAATAAATACAAAACCTGTCAATTTGACATTAAAGGGGCCGCATGATTTAGAACAGGAGTCTCCAAACTTGGCAACTTTAAGACTTGTGGACTTCAACTCCCAGAGTTCCTCAGCCAGCTTTGCTGGGAGTCGAAGTCCACAAGTCTTAAAGTTGCCAAGTTTGGAGACCCCTGATTTAAAAGAAAACCATAGATTTACAAAGGTTATTTGCGAAGATTTGTAAGGCTGCGGCAAACATATAGGATGATGCCGGTTCGTTGCCTCATCTCCAGCGACCGGGACTCCGCCTTTCCCCCAGCTGCACGGAAAGGGAACCCTGGGCGCGCCAAGACGGAGACGGAAATGTTTGTTTCCATCTCTTCTATCCCTCCCTTTCCTGGTTACGCAAACACAGCGCGGGAGGGACAGTCCGGACTGGCTTGCGGGCGAGAGCGGAGCTGCGGAGAGAGCGCGCAAAACGCCTTCCTTTTTGCCGGCTGCGGGTGAGTATCCAGCCCATCCCCGGGCAGAGCCTTAATTCGGGCTCGTGGCGGGGCGTCTCCGCGATGGGGAATCGATTAGGGCGCATCGCCATTTCGGAATAGAGGGACAGCTCATTTAGCAAAGTACCGGAGAAAAAGGGGGCGACGTTTCGTCCTTTTGCCCGGAGGGGCTGGTCGGTGCCTCCGTAAATAGCCACCCTGAATGCAACAGATCTGTTGCACGTGGCTGGCATCTTATAGCTTAGTTATCTGAGCTAGCAAGAGGTATATTTTTATTTTTATTTTTTAAAAAAGATTTCCTTTACACGTGCAACTTGCAACTAACAGGCATTATTCTCGGTCTTAGAAGAGATGTGAAACTGCGGAAAAGGCTGAGGGCTCGGTGCGGATCTGACTTGTTAGTGGCGCGGTTACGACGAACCGTTCCAAATCGAGCCGCAAACTTGCCTCTCTTGTCCGTAAAACGTCGGAGTTTATTCAGTTAGTTGTAAGGACACTCTGAGGACAGCTCTTGCCTTGGGTGTTTCCTAAGAACGGCTTGTATTTCGGGGCTGTGTATTCCCTGGAGCAGAAGATGACTCGATTTTGCAACGTATTAAAAATAAGGCGCGTTTGGGGGGTTTTGCCTAAACTGAATCAATTCTGCTACCGCATGCAATTATAATTTTATTTAATACAGTGCAAATCACGTCCTAATGCGGCGCATGAATTCAATGCAAAAAATAAGCACTTTGCCAATTCTAAGTGAGATCACTTCTAGTCATTTGTAGATCATGGGAGTCGAGCAAACTGATTACCATTTCAAGATGCATATCATTTTTAATCCCTTAGACCCAGGGGTCTCTAGCAACTTTAACATTTGTGAACTTCAACTTCCACAATTCCTCAACCAGTACCCTGGCTTAATCCATTATAGCTTCTTGCAAGAAAAAACTGGATGGAAGGAAAAATATACCTTACTAGGGATAAATGTTTTTCTTCCTCTCCTCACCTTCTGAGAAAGAAAAATTGCCTGTTTGCTTGTTGTGATCCTTTCCCCAAAACATCAGATTGGTTTATCTCCCTTGTGTCTTGTCTTGATGTGAAGAAGTAAGAACAACAGAAATGACAGTTCTGCCCTAGCAAAGCAATATGTGTTAGATAAAGCTTTTTTCTGAGTAATGAAGTCTCCTACACAGGGTGGGTTGTGGAGAATGGCTCATAAGCAAAATTTTAACCAAGGACTTTATTTAAACACGGACTTTATTCCTCTTTTTTTTAAACCTGAAATAATGGGCTATAACAGTGCTGAAAGAAGACTTATCAGACAGATGAACATTTTGCCTTTATTTGTATCAGAGGTTCTCAAGCATTTCAGTCTCAGCACCCTTTTGCATTCTTAACAATGATTGAGGGCCCCACAGAGCTTTGGTTTATGTGGGTTAAATCTATCAATATTCACTGTATTAGAAATTAAAACAAAGATTTTAAAATACTCATCTCCATGGGATTTCAGGGGCCCCCAGGCCACACTTTGAGAATCACTGTCTGTTTCATTCCTTAACTCCTGGGTCAGATTGACTGCAGGGTAAACATTAATTAAATTTGTCATGACAACTGCAGTTGTGTTAATATTTCCTATACATATGCCCAGGCAGTTGTAAAGTATTTTCCAAAACCTTCCTCCCTCACTTCAACAATCCTACACAGCAGTTATCGTAAAGTGCAAATTTAATTTTAAATGCCATTACTTCTGGGTATTACATTTCCAAGGAGACAGAAAAATGACTTTTTATGTAGGATTGTGTAGGTGTCATATCAGCACAGGCATATGCAGTGTTTTATAATGATATCAAGTTATATTTTAATTTCAAATTCTTTAAATTTTAAATTACCAAAATATGTGGAATGCATAGGTGTCTGCAGAATGTGGTCAAAAAAGTAAGATGGCAAACATAATGATAGTCAATTTTTTTGCCTGTTTTTATATGCATTGCAACATACCTTAAAAAAAACCAATAGCGTTTAATTGCATCATCATAGTTGCCATTTTAACTTTTTTTATTCATACTTTGCTGATACCTATGTGGGGAGTGTAAGAAAGAAATTTCATCTTCCCACTTGAAAATATTCGGTAATAAAATAATATAGTTCATAACTGAATTGGTAATGCTAAATGATAGCGGAAGTATATACTATATTTTGAAACCAATTTTTAAAAATCCATCTATGCCTATATACAGCTCAATAAAAAGTAGCTGTACTTCTGAAGAATAATAGAAATATGTAGAAGGCATCATGTATGCATATTTGGAAATTTACCTTGTTATCTACAGCGGAGTAGCCACAAAGTATATTGTTTAAGGTCTGACCCCCAGATTTTATCTTTATTTAAGCATGCAAGGCAGCTGGATCACCTATAACTAGTCATTCCCTCTCAGCCCTAATCATTCTTTTTTATTTATTATTTTTATTTTAATATGCTATTTATTACAGTTATTGTAAAGGCTTAGTCATTCCTTCTTAAGCCTGATCACTCAAACAAGGCTCCACAGCAAACCTTGTTTGAAAAAGACAATACACTCTGCCCCCTCATGTCACATCAAGCATTGATAAGCTTTGCTGTAGTTACTAAGTGAATTCAGCGGGGGGGGGGGGGAAGCAAGCAAATCCTGCAGCCGAACAGAACAAATATTAGGAGCAATGGCATTTTGTTATTTACAGTAAATAGTCTCTGTATGAAGAAGATTACAAAAATGTGTTGTTAAATATAGACAACCTAGAATAGAGTTCTTGGACAAATAGTGGATGTATTAGGTTAAATGGAAATTAACGATGGTGTAATTAGGGATAATTTAATAGTGCTTTTCTTAGTACAATCAATAGAATTGTATACAAAATAATAATATGGGGGAGGGGGAAATCCAGGTACGTCTTGTACTCCATGGGCCAGACATGCCCTGGGGCAGTGATGGCTAACCTTTTTGCCATCGTGTGCCGAAAGCGGGGGGAGTGCGGGGGTGTCACACCCATGCGTGCCCACACCCATAATTCAGTGCACCCACCCCTGCATGCGCGCGCGAAACCTGCGCTCCCCCCACTTTTGGCATGTGATGGCACAGTGGGTCCAGTAGGCCCGTTTTTCGCCCTCCCCAGGCTCCAGAGGCTTTCTTGGAGCCTGGGGAGGGCGAAAACAGCCTTCCCTATCCCCCAGGAGGCCCTCTGGAGACCAGAAATGGTCCGTTTGCCAACTTCCGGTGGACCTGGAAGGCCCCAAAATCAGCTAGCTGGCACGCACATGCGCGCCAGAGCTGAGCTAGGGCAATGCTCGTGTGCTCATTGATATGGCTCCACGTGCCACCTGTGGCACACGTGCCATAGGTTCGCCATCACGGCCCTGGGGTGACTTGCATGGATGAAAATCTGTATCTGAGTTACTGTTGTTTAAGAGTCTTGAGCCCAGTGTAGGACAGAGTATAAGATTGTTTGTTGTTGCTATTATAAACAATTGAGAAGGAAAGAAGCTTTTGGCAAAGTACTGTCAACATCCAGAAATAATCTCCTACCTATTTCTGAATATATTAAACATATATTCTGAGTTTAGTGCCATGACTAATATTCCTGTCTTGAAAAAAATCACAGCAGCTCAGCTCACAGCAGTGTCATAGCAACTGAAGTAGAGAGACATAATTTATTATTGCCTGGCATAGCAATTAATGAATTAATGTGAAGCTTCTTTCAAATATTATTGACTCAGTGAAGCTATAGCAATGGGTTCAGATAATTTTCCAGTGTGAGCTGCCTAACATGCAACTGGATTGAAAGGAGGACAGTGGTATCTCAAAGACTATTTTATTGTGGCCATAAGCTTCCATAGGTGAGAGCCTGCTTCAATACAAGTCTTGAAAAAATCATGTTATAAAAGTACTTTATTCAACTGAGCAACCTTTTAGGAACTAATTGATAAAATGTCTAAAGATGGTAATACTCCCAACTAAAATATCAACTGGAGGTACCGGTATATTATTGTAATTGGAGCATAGATGTCCATTTTGTTTGCACTTTAATGGAACACAAGTACTGTAATAAAGGCTTCTTTTCCTTAATGTAGTAGTGTACTGTTTTAATATAATACCCGTAGTTGGGCATTATTTTTACTAGGACCAGATAGGAGCTTGCCAGGCTAGGTGGTATAAAAAAAGGAGAGACAGGACTTCCGGTTGGCGAGCTGCAGCGACATGGTGCTGAGTGAGTGACTGTCACCCCTCAACACCTTTTGTCACCGCGTTTTGGGGATCCCTTCGGGGGCGCGGGTCCTGGAGAGCCCCGCGGACAATAGAGAGAGTCGGGTGAGCGAGAAAGTGAAGCGCACACACTTCTCGCTAAACCGGGCGGCTCTGTCAAGCCAACGCGTGTGAAGTCAGCCTCTCAATGGCTGACCCGAAGCTGTGGTAGCTGACAACCAGACGGGAAGCAAGGAAGATCGGAGGCTGCAGTGTCGAGATCGAACCGTGTCCTCCCTGCCTACGCGTGAGTGAACATCAGGAAGGGGCCAGCGGAGTCGGGCGAGAAGGGCTTAAACAGAAAAAGAGCGGCGACGGAGAGTGGAGAATAGACGGAAAGATCACGGAGCTCGACAAGCCGGCGCAGAGAATAAGAAATTGAGGTTGCTAAATTACCTGCGCAAGAAGGGGATCGGTGGGTAAAAGGAGTAAGGAAGCTAAAAGAATTCAGAAGAACTTCTCTTTTTTTTATTTGCTGGTTAAAGCAGAAAGATGAACTAAGTTGGAGATTGGACCCTATCTAATTGTGCCAGAGAACAGGAAGTGCAGCCATTGAAGAAGTCTGACAGAGCAAACTGAAAAGGACAGGCATGGAGACGATCTAGCTTCGAGGCTTACCATAGAGTTTTGACAGTTTTGACAGTGACAAAGTAAACGTGAGAAGAAGTTAGGACTGGATGAGACTGGCGGCTGAGTGAGAAAGAAAGAATATTGCCCCTTTGCTTTTGGGAAAATATT